TTCATATAAATGAATTAATTTTAGAAATAATGATAATTGCGTGCCGATATGGTTGTCGGACTTTCAACGCGATCAATCTGAAATATTAATAATCTCCCCAAATTTCTCAAATTAATCTTAAAAAACTGTAATAAACTTATTGCGAAAAAAATATTGCCTATTAATTCATTTATATGAATATATATAATAGTTCAACATCTCAGCATTCAGATGTTGTGGCGCTTCGTATTTAAAGTAATGTTATTATATAAAAAATTCATATTGTTTAAAAGGGAGAAGATATATTTATGATTACTAATCAAGCACATTTAAAGACTAAAATAAGAAATTTTGATTTTAATTTTAAACTTTATTGTAGAATTTATTTGTATAGGGCAAATTAATATAAAGAAAACAACATATTTTTTTAAGTAAAACAAGAATTAATTCAATAAAGAATAATAAATTATTTTGTGTAATAAAGCTTAGAAAAAAATAGAAGGGCTTTAAATTTTTTAAATCATAAAGTATTTTCAATCATGTAATTATATTTATACTTAACATTTATTCAGTTCATCATATTTTACAACATACAAGTATAAAAGAAAGAAAAAATAGTATATAATAAAAAAAATAAAATTTTAATATCAAAATTTTTTAAATCAGATATTTGTTTTTTTTACTTCTATGCACAATATCTTTTCTCTTTGGAAGGTTTATATCTACATACGGAGATTAAATTAATATTAATATTTGTGTTTATTCAGACCTTACATTTTTTATTTGAAACATTTTCAGATAAGAAACTGAATATTGTTCAAACGTAAGGACATACACATTTTAATTTATTACGAAGATATTTAGATTTGCAATTATACTTATTGTATATATAGATATATATATATTTTTTATATATAAATACACTATATTTATGCAGGATATTCAGTGTAACAGTCCACACGATTTTTTTAGACGATAAAGTTTAATTCATATTACCAGTGTAGCGTGCAAAAAGTCCGTCAGAGATTGCAAGACTAATTATTAAGAACAATTTATTGAAAATTATAAATGCATTTTCAAATATATATATATATATATATATTTAAAATGCATTTATAATTTTCAATAATTAGTCTTGCAATCTCTGACCAACTTTTTACATGCTGTACTGGTGATGTAAATTAAATTTTATCGGAAAAAATAAAGAATAAAAATATGGAAAGTTTTCAAAATTATATTTGTTTATCCGTAAAAAATTTGTCGTAAAAAGAATTAGAAAATTCTTGTTTAATAGTTCAATATTTTATATTAATAGTTCAATATTATTATGTTAATCAATATATGTCAACTTTTATTACCATATTTATTATATTCATATGCTTTATTATATTCATATGATAATAAGTCTTCTCAATGATATTGATCGACAAAAGTATTTTTGTTCCAACTTAAGATTGATTTGTCGATAAAATTAAAACTGACGTTTATTAATTTTTTATACTTAATGCATACATACATATATAAAATTATTAAATAAAAATATTTTGAACAGTTTTTATAACAAATTAGTTATAAAACTATATAACTATAAAAGAATATTTAAATAGAAAGCGATTCTTAATGACTTTTATTGCATATATATGTAATAATTCTATTACCGCTATATGTGCATTATCAAAAGCGTTTCATAGAAACACATTATCATTTATCATTAATTAGAGATTTTACTATCTTTAAACGCGCGAAGTTTTATACATTATATTTACTCTTATTATATTTACTTTAACCGTATCGTTCTTAAATTCTTTCCACCTGAAGATTATTATAAATTCAACGTTTCACGTTTTGTATTAGAATTTTCGTATCATTTACTAATTTAGAGATTCTTTTTTATATACCACCTGTACATACATAACATATTTACTCAGATAGCAGAATGTAGCGTGATGTCGACAGATTGATAGCAGATTTAATCAGAAGATGTTAGCAGACTGATGTCGCATTTTGCTCCTATTCTGCCAATAGAACTTGTTAACATGCTATGCAAACAGAATAGCAGAAATCAAACAGAATCTGATAGTAGATTGCGAGCAGAAACCGAGCAGAGTCTGCTGACATAACAGCAAATTGATAACAGAAACCGAGCAAGATCTGTCACTTAGTGTCCGTACGAAATATTTTTAATGTGATGATTCTTTTAATATCTGCTTCAATGGCTTGTCTGCTTTAATAAAAATCAAATCCGTATGTAACAAATTCGTTCAACTGCTGCTGAATTCAATGTGGGAGAAACACTTTTCTTTCAATTAGTGGCTCGATGCCTCGCACTCAATATAATAATTTGATCGTTTTCGTTCATTTCTTGCTGTTCCAAGAAGTAAATTTCCACTGCCTGCGATTGATTGTTTCCACAAATTTAAAAAAAAAACATGTTATTCTATGGTAGAACCACAGACTTCTAGTAAATTTCTGTAGTTATTCCACACGCATCATGAATGGACTCAGCGACTTGTAGACTCTCCAAACAGTCATTAATTTCTTTAATTTTGATTAATTACTACTACAGGAATTGATTCTGGAATTTGCCATGTGCCATTCACGCACTTTTAAAAATTGTCACGTGTTTTTTAAGTACTCTATAAATTTCTCGTTTTTACAAGAATTATCTATATATAATAGAAGAATTTTCTTATTTCATAAGTAACAGATGGATTTGTCTCGAATAGAATTCAAGAAACGTGATAAAATTATCGAAACATAGAATAAAACTGTAGTGTAAAGTATGAAAAAAGTGTGTATGTGTGTGTGTGTGTGTGTGTGTGTGTGTGTGTGTGTGTGTGCGCATACATTTACACTAGGAATTGGAAGTAATTAACTAATCCCAGCAAACATAAAGATATAACTGTTATATTGCTTTAATAAAACAAAAAATAACAGGTAATATATTACATATAACGTATACATTATAGTTGTAATTTCCCCACTCATTGGAAATTACAGTTATATAAATAAATATAACAATTCCAAAAACTAAAAGCTATAAAATTAATTAATCCAGTCTTATTACTGAAATAAGTATTATCGATTAGCATAAAATTTCAGAATATACACGGCAAATTTAAAAAAAGAACATTTTTTTCCTTAGGCAATTAATTTCATGTTACCCATCCTGAACTGTATTACACCCAGAGCTGCTTGATCTCTATCTCTGCGATCGTACAGAAACTGCTCAAATGCTTCAATAATCCATGAACTCGATAATGTTAATGCAAGTATGACATATTTGACTAATAGATTTTGTCAAAAAGATAGAACGCATAGTTAAAATAATTATAGTTAAAATATATTATTTTCATAAATGAATCTGAAAAATTAGTACAGTTAGATCAATTTTACTGATTTTCAAAACTATACAGGATATCATTTGAAATAATTATGTAATAAATTATACATATTATCACATTATATTTTATATATCTTTCTGCTTAGTTGCCTGTTAGCATATCTAGATTTACAATGCTGAATGTAGCTATTATAATATTAATCTAATATATATCAGTTTCGTTAATAATTCTTGGAAAAATTTGTTTTAAATAAAGTTAAAATTTTGAAGGTAATTAAGAATTAAAATTTTTTATTTATATTTTAATAAAATGATTTTTTAATACGATCTTTCTTATAAAAGAAGGCGTACCTTAAAATTTAAACAATTTCATAATTTTATATTATCTTGAAAAAAATTGTCGACATTTATTCTTCACAATTCTTAAATCTCTTTAGATTTTTTTAAATTTTTCATAAAATAATTTTAAGATAACTTTAAATATAAGAATAAATGTCTAAATTTAAATATGTAAAAATAAAGTCAATAAGCACAAATTTAGAATGTAAATTAATTTATTAATTTCAGATAATCTCTATTAACATAGATGGTAACTGTACGTTTCGACATACAATCTTCATTAACATTAAAATATTCATTAAAATTTATATGAATAAAATATTAAAACAAATTACTGCAGAGAGGAACATGATATGTTGAGAAACGATGGAGACGTAATTAAATGTAATTTAAAGGATAAGAACCCTATAAAATAAGATAAGAAGCTAATATCACATAAATAAGAATTTAAAAAGAAACTAACATCAAGGAAAGCAAACATATATCCAGATAACAATGTGTCTGTGTTATTGCTGTCATATTGTTCGCAAATCACAGCAACACAAAATGGCATGTATTCAGAATTGTTGCAACTAAATTAATATTTATTAGAAAATTAATATCTTTATGATGTGAGAACTTTAGCTAGTAACTTGCCAGCAATTTATGTCTCTGAAATTATCATTTGTCAAACATTGTGCAACATGATAGCAGTTAACATCTCATACTTTTTTTATTAGAGAAATAATACAGCAAATTTGCAGTAAGTATTAAGCATTATATTATACTGCTTTGTTATACTGTTAATAAAAAAAACCTTATGCTTTTATCTCGGAATCCAATTTTAAGAGATTCATTTTCAAGACATCCTACCATCATTTTTTTTAGAAATTTCTTACAATACTGTTCATTTTCTTATACTAACTTTTATCCTATCTTATATGATTTTTTATTTACGAGAAGTACTGTAAAATGTGCCTGAAAGTTACATCGACAGTCGATAACATCTTTCTTTACTCTGCAATTATCTATTGAGTCAACTTGACATTCTCCAAGATTTGTAAAGCTGCCGCTGGCTGTCTTCAATGATACTTCATCGATGATCGTCGGCTCATCGATTGATATAAATGCCTGTCGCATTATTTGTACTTTTTGCACTCATATTTCTGTTTTCTTTTTCTTCCACGCCTAAATATATATTTATTTTATTTTAAGCGCAAAAATCTTTGGGGACTTCAAGCAATGCAAATAGACCTAATCTAGGGAAGATGACGTGGAATATCTGGAGACTGAAAGAGGGATTTCCGTGACTCCCACGGTGTGCCCTGCGGGATCCGTCATTCGTGTGCGCGCGCATAATCGCTTCGCGAAATGTTTAGAGAAAGATCGCCTTGATGTTCGAAGCATCTGTCGAAAGTGTCACTAACGGATCGCGCTGATGTTGCTGATGCTGTTTGCGGGATCAAAATCGGTCGACGCGAAAGAAACGATTCTTCCAGTGGCTCACGGCTAATTGAGCCGTTTCGGCTCGTATCTCTCGGCTCGTCGAGAATCAGGAGCGGAGAATCAGGGCATAACAGTGTCAATAGGAACGTTAGTCGTGGAACGGACCATTGCGTGCACGTCAAATTCGTCTGACCGGTAAGGACCCGCCAATTTTGTTCACCGCCGAGTCGCGACTTCGCTGGCTGCTGATTTCGTGATTAGGAAGCGTTAATTCTTTTCTTTCGCGAGGAAAGACGCCGAGCTTGGTGAGGCAGGGAACGGCGTTTTATTTCCTCCAGAAGGATCGACCGCGTAGCATTTGTTCGTAGTATTTATTTTTCAGAAACGCGCTTTGGAGGTTGAAAAATAATAATAAAAAATTATATAGTGTGCTAGCAGACGTGTTAACACTGGGACACGTCGATCATTTTCAATCTTTTTTCGTGAGATTTTGTTTCATTTCTCGTTAACGCATCCGCATAATGACGAATATCGATGGCACAGTAACTCGATCAGCTGATCATTGTGACTTGGCTTTTAACATAACCTGCAAAGACTTTGCGCGCACGCGGTGACCTGATCGATCGCATTGATCTTTAGTCGCTCGTGAATTTTTTTAGAATAAAAAGATCGGTCATTGGCATTACTTGTCTTTTTTTACTGTAATATATTCTTCAATTTTATAAATTTCTTATATAGCGATTATATATTTATGTATTATGTATTATAATGTAAATATATTATTATGTGTTCTGAATACATGCTGAGATCACAACTTATAAAATGTGATAAAAATTATGCCAAGTTTAAATTAAGTCATTTATAGTATATGCATAATAATATATATAGATATCTATTTATTTATGTATACTTAAAATTTAATGGACACTTATAAAAATCTATTCACACGAAAATCTCGTAAAAATTTGAAAAGTAACACTTTAGAGTAACCTGCTCCGAAATTTATAAAAAGTGAAGAAATTGGACTTTAGGATATTTCATGAATTTTTAACATAAATAAAAATTCCTCTATAGTTCGTTTCAACGCGCAAAAATCCGATTTTTCAAATCCGTTAATTTGCAAATGTAACTTGACAAGTAATACTTTACTTGTGATACATCCGGGACGGAAGTACAAATCGAATTGAAACTATAAATGATCGACATTCATTTGACGTATCACTATATATGCAAATTTATTGTAAATTAATATTAATCTTTCACTTTACTCAGTTTTTAGCAAGTGAATTTGTATTATTTACTTAATTATAGTTATACGGTCATTATTATTTAATGTATCTATGTAAATATCTAATTAAATAATTAAAATATATTAGATATCCGGTAAACGAGAGTGAATTAAAATGCATTGAAATTTTATCCATCCGAATGCATTATTTAATACATATTGCATTATTTATTACATATTTTAAATAACAAAAACTGTTTTTGGATTCATTTTTGTATTCAATTGATCCAACCATTTTTCAATCTGGTTTGAAAAATTGTATTTCCTATTCAAAATTTTGTATTGCGAAGTATTCACGAGGCACAGAAAAGCTGATGTTATTTTTAGATCGAAAAGCATAGAAATATTCTTTATCCAATTCATATAAATGAATAAATATGTAATATTAAAAAAAGGATTGTAGTAGATTAAAAAAAGGATTCATTTCAACATTCGTGAATGTGTATTTCTGAAAATATGAATCCTTTTCAATTCATTGTCGATTACTGAATATAATTAAAATTATATAATTAGTAATTAAATGATTACAATTCTATACTTAACAATGTAACTATTGTATTATTGTAAAAAATATAATCATAATTATTTCAAAAGATAATATTGTGTTTGTGTGTGTATGTGTGTGCGTGTACGTGCGTGTGTGAGTGAGATTGCCCTTAAGAAATTTCCAAGAAGACTTATTCTTAAATTTTAATGCCGTATCATGTTATATCGATTTTATCTTCAAAATTACTAATGATTATCATTTTTTTCATACTTCAGTTATCGTCCTACGAATTAAATTGATAGTTACTCAATATTTTTTGCTCTTATCTTATATTGCATCAAGAGCTGGAATGATAAGATAATACATTAGGTGCGCAACTAATATATTGTGTAATAATTTCGAAATTCCAAGATTTCTTTATTCACGTTTCTTCATAAATAAAATCATTAAAGATAAAAGTGTGTTATAAAATAATGAGTCACACCAGTTGTACTTGCGTTACAATAATGTATTATTTAAATAACTTTATCCTGTCTATGCCAGACTTTGAAGTCATATACAACTTAATATTTTACGATTTCACAATAATATATCATCAGTTTAGCTTATATTAAACCATCCTCAATGATAAATGAAAGAAAATTGATATAATTTAAATCAAATAATATAAATTCGGGTACACACAGTAAAATACTATAATGCGCGTTTCCGAAAGAAATTTTTTTCAACATGTAAAGAAGGTATTGTTTTCTCTTTAAATAGTTGTCACACGTGTATTGACACGTTTTTAGTCTAATTGTCTCACTCAACAAAAGAGATTTCAAACTTCTGATTAATATCACATAAGGCTCAATTACGAACGACACCGTAAAGTTATACAGCCCAAAATTCGGACAGCTCATTTTGACCCGTGATGATAACAAAGGATCAATGACATTTCGAAATGTTACGTAGCTTTTTTACCTTATATAATATCTGCGCAACATCAACGTAACGATTCCGAACTGTTGTTAAGAGTTACAGAATCGGACTATTGGTATAAGATACGTATTTACTTGCTAATTTGGAACGTCGTGTGCGTCAAACCGGTGTGAAATCAGTGAGTTTTTTTTTAAATGATGATCAATTACTTAAACTAATCATAAAATTATAATTTCAATCTAAAATCGTGTAACGTGATTCATGTGAAACAAAAAAAGATGTATTTGTCTTATTTAAAATGACAACATGTACTCTTGGCGCAAATAGAATAAGAAGTGTTTCATACAAATGCTCAATTATAAATGCAAGAATTAGATACATTATTCGAATGTCAACAATAATTCTCGCCCTTAATTGCGCTTAGACACATCAGTTTTGTATCCTACGCCTTGCTCTTTAAATAGTTGTCACACATCCCTTCGTAGAAACCTGCTCCTCCGCAAGAAGATGTAGAGAAGAATTGCCTCCAAGTTAAATTCCCTTTTCCCGATCGTGGGATGGGACTCGGCCACTCAGGATGAATTACAACTCGCTAGGGTGATAGCGACTCGTCCTACAGCTGTACAATGTTATGTAAGAGATCGGGAGAAGTAGATAGAAGCGAAATCAATTTGCGTGGTACAATCAACAGATTGGTAATTTGTTCCCGCTGCGTGTGTGTGTGTGTGTGTGTGTGCACGTGTACGTCTTCGATAACAATTTCTCTTCGACTGACATCGCACTGATTACGCTATTGTGGGATGTCAATGCCCGTTTTGTGTAATGAAACGAGTATGGTCTTGCACGCGATCAAATCAATTGAATTAACATCCACAGCCTTGGGAGAGAATAGGTTTTCAAGGCGATACGATGTATCAAAATACATAATTTAAACAATGGAAACAAATTCCGGAAAAGTCGTGAGTCACTGTCGGGCAATTAGAACATTATTCAGCAAAAATATATGTCAATGACGATTATTGTACTGCGGGTCTTTCACTATCGAAAATAAAGAAGAAACGAAAATAGAAGTTACGCAGAGAAGTATAAACGCGAATATAGACGAACACCTGGCTCTCGTCAGATGCCAAGAGAGAAGAATGTTCAGTTTTCATTATACGAAAAAAGGATAATATTATGTGAGAGGAAGATAATTTCAGATTTTGTTATTTCATAAAATCTTTCGAAGTTTTCTACTCGTGTAATCTATTGATTACAATACATCTTATCATTGAAAATTGATGATAACAGTATGTACAAATATAACGCGTTAATCTTTATCCAGAAAGTGCAATTTTTCCGACTGATGCGTAAAAAAAAAATGCTTTATGTAATGCGTTGTCTACAATACATGGAATAAGAAGTAAGAGTAAGAAATTGATCAAGCACAGTCGACTATTCTTCTCACAATGTGAGTAAACGATATGAAAGTGAAGTGGCCTTCAAGTTTTGGCACAATATGTTAACTACTGTTTAACGTATCCTCATAATGTCACACTTAACTACATTACTCTCAATTTTATAGACAAATATACCTTCTCATTTCAAAGCTTTTCCACTACGAATTGAAGCAGCTTTGCGCACTTCATATTTGTGGAACTCACATAATTGCTATTATCTAGTAGAAAAGATTACAACATTATTTTCTTTCTTATCAACAATTTGACATTAATCACTAATGCTGTTTTCCTCATGAATTCTTACAATCTCTCATAATACATATATTTACAAAATTTTTTCATATTTCACATTTATGAAAATTTCTGAAAAATACTTTAAACTTTTTGAAATTTTATAATAAATTGTTTCTTTAGTAGAAACTTGTTCAATTGTAGAATAGAATTCTGTGTTTTAGAATTTGTAAAGAAAGATGTAGATTTTCTCAACATTTTTGAAAAATGTTCCAATTTAAATATACTATAACAAAATCTGAAATTTTTTTTAACAAATTATAAAATTATATAGAAATTCTAAAAAATTCTGAATTTATATAGAAATTCTGAAAAATTATATGAAGAATTTTAAGACAATTTTCGTCAGGAAAATAATTATAAGACAAAAAAATTATAACTTCTTTTTTCTTATTAACAATTTGACATCAGTCACTCATATTGTTTTTTATTAATTACATCAATTTCAACAGGTGCGGGACCATAATTTAAATCAACTATGGCACAGGACAGTTCAATTCCGAAACCCGCAGAGCAGTTCAAGTATGTCACTCTTGGATAAAATCTCAAATTAGAATAATGATTTAGAAGTGTTACAGTTTTATTTTAAATATCATAAATGAAGTTATTAAAAAGTGTAAAATAACGAATGTATTTTTCTTCGCAGAGATATATAAAAAAATCAGATATATAAACAATCATTTATGTAATATAAGTTTGCATTTATCTTCCAGACTTATACCAAAAATTATAAACGGAGGCATTGCCGGAATTATTGGAGTATCCGTGGTTTTTCCGCTTGATTTGGTGAAAACAAGATTGCAAAATCAAGTTATTGGCCCGAATGGCGAACAAATGTATAAGTCAATGCAAGTATTTTATTTAAAAAATTGATAACTATTAAACATAATCGTCGTACAGTGCATATTATATAATTATTATATAATTAAAAATAAAATATCCTAATTATTTAAAAAACTTTGAAATATTATGTATATAAATTATGTATTATTTTTAACCTATTGATAATCACAAATTATATGCAAATTTAAAGAGGATTGTTATATTATTTTATGTAATAAACTTTTTAATTTCATTTACGCTTTCTTGTTTTTTTTTCATTTAATGTGAAATAAATGTATGGAATGCAAGAAGTACAAAAAAAGAGATTATCATAATCCAATATATTAAATTATTTTTAGGTTTGACTGTTTCAAAAAAACTTACAAAGCAGAAGGTTACTTTGGAATGTATAAAGGATCCGCTGTAAATATATTGTTAATCACGCCTGAGAAAGCAATCAAACTTACTGCCAATGATACATTTAGGCATTATCTTTCGCTTGGACCTGGGTATGTTGCAAATAATATATTGTTTAATATATTGTATTTTTCATATTGTCAATGATATGAGCTTGTGGTATGTGCTCCTCTCTGTGCATAACATTGTCAAAGCGGAAGTTAATCTGTGAGAGGTGGCATGAGAATTATTTAGTCGCATAATGTAGGCACAATGCTAAAATATTTTTAAAGATAATCATTAAAGATATTATAGTGATCTAGCATTCATTAACAATTTATTCCTCTAAATTTTATAGATTTCAATCTTAAATTCAAATCTTTAGCATCCTACGAGTATGTATATAATACTTAATGTATATAATACTTTTAGTCTTTTAAACTTATTTTTCAGACTTCTTCCTTTTCTTGTGTGTGTGTCATCTTTTCATTTCCATTCAAAGCCCTAATTCTCCATAGCAATTATCTTCTCATTGTATTAAATATTTAGTATTTAAAGGAGTTTATTCAAAGTTTATGGCAAGTAGGTTTCAGCATGAAATATGTTTCAAGAAATAAAATTTCTGTTGAATTAATAATGTAAAATTTTTGTAGAACGCGTGGGCTTTCCAATTAGCTATATAACATCGACACAATTTCTGAGTTTATTTTATAATTTATAATAAAAGGAAATGTTTATTAAATCATTGTATTATGAACTGAGATAACACAAGCGTTTACAAAGTGTTACAAAACTTATAATCAACATCACGTTAAATTAATTAAATATTTCGAGTTTTTTATTCTGCAAATTTTTATTCTGATTAATGGAAGATATGAATTAGTGTAGCTATATGAAGCCACAGTAAGTTTAAATTACGTCAACAGCAAAGCGAGAAGCCAAAGAGTATTGATCGAGCCAAGTTGTCTACTATGTAGACAACTTGGCTCAATCAATATACAGGTATGAAAATTATTAGAATAAAAATTTGAAAATGTTACATCTTTTTCTTTCAGTTTCTTTGTGAAGAAAATTATATAATAAGTAATATGTTAGTTATAGTAATAAGTAATACGTTTCTCTTTAACATATCCAATTTGCATTTATTCTGTCAATCAAGTTTTTATTATTTCAATAAATTTTAAATATTATCTCTAATATCAAAAAATATTATCATCATCGTAGAAGTATTAGTTAATACAAAATTTAATTAAATGATTTTGTTTAATTAGAAAAATATAACAATATGCAGCAATATATTTCTTTAAAAAAAAAATCATAATTGGAAAGCTCCAAAAATTAGTAATGTAGTGCTGTATCATTTGATCAGCAGAGCATCATAGCATTTTGTTTAGAAAACCTTATAGTATATCTATCCTTATTGCTAATTACTGTTATTTATTTGTTTCGATAACTGCTTGCATTTAACACTGTCTTCCAAGTAAATTACACACAAAGTATACGTATATCTGTTTGATATACCAAAAATTATCAGTAACTAAAAAAAAAAGTTTTACATTGTTGTGAATCCAATGATATTTGAAAATAATCCAGCGATATTCGAAATAAGACTTATTTGATATTCAAGAATATGCAAATGGCATTGCATTTTTCTTGTATTTTTTTAAATATTAATTTTGAGTTTATGAAATGTCTCACTTTTTGCTGATTAAATTTACGGAGTTATTGTGTACTTTTTATAATATATATATATATTCTCAAAATTAATTTCCTTAATAAAAATTGATTATTTTAAGTTATTATTTATTATTTTCGTAGATACTGTAATTCTATAATTCTGATTCTAAATAGGTAATTTTATTATTAAAAATAATAAAGTATTATTAAATCTTAAGACAAGCATAGCTCATTCTGTACATTTCTGTACAACGAAAAAGAGGGAATGAAGTTGAGCTCGCACTATTATGCCAGAATTTTATATTATTATAAAACACATTGAAATATATTATTCTGTAATTCTAGACAACTGAAGATACCTGTTTCAAATAATTTCCAAGTTAAATGACCTGGCAAACGGTGCAAGCAACCATAACTAGCTAACCAAGTCGCAAGCAATCGACGAGAGCAGGGTAATTTTTGCTTTTCCCTTTTCTTCCTTACGAAATGGTTTTTTTTTTAAATAATCCAAGATAATAACATATCAGAAACTATACAAAATTACAATTAGTTAATAATAGTCTGATTGAGAAAGAGAGAGATAGAGAATTGCTGAAAATTTATTAAATGTCAGCTAGCACTATGTATAATGCAGTGTAATTGTTAATTTTCTATTTTACAATTATAAATTGTAGCTTATCTTATTTGCTTTTTTCATTTAAAGTTATTTTCTAATATATTGAATAATTTCGACTATTTATAGCTTTTATTAGTATACGTGTTACATCACGCTCTATTGGAATTACACATAAATTGCGAATTATGAAGTTAACAATTTGCTTCGTTTACGTTTTTTGCCAATGTATTTTGATGCTCTGCGGTCCGTTAAGATATTTAATATATTGCTTATCATGCCACTAGCGTTGAATGATCTCCCTTATCCGAACTGGTACATCATGATGAACAGAACATTTTACACATTACCTTACAAACTTTGAGAAGTTTAGTAGTTAACTTTTTTTTTAATCAATTTAAATATTTATCTAATAATACACGATTGAATCGCTATACTGATAATTATGCTTGAATAATAATGAACGACCGAGATGATCGTTCGAAAATCGCTTTTGAGATATCAGTTTTGATCGGTTTTAGATTAATGCCCGAACTTGTTTTTAATTGGGAAAATTGATCTCAATCAAACTTATTTTTTACCACCAGCCAAACAATTTTCTGAAATTTAAAACACTTTTTTTTCTTGATTTTTTGAAGTCGTGTGCCAGTCTTATTTATATGTATTAAAACTTTTTACAATACTCCGTGATCCCAGGACTCTCTTAATCTGTTGTCCAGACAACAATTGCCAATAGAACGTGAAATGCTCGCTGGTGGCTTGGCAGGAGCATGCCAAATAATTGTTACCACTCCGATGGAACTGCTTAAAATACAAATGCAAGACGCTGGCAGAGTCGCCATAGCAGCTAAAGAAGGTGACGAAAGTAGTCAATAACTTCTTAAGATCCTCCTTCCACGGCTCGAATCCAGCAAGATTATTCACGACTATCATGCGCGAGACTATTCACATATATCTAAGTTTCTTACAATTATTGCATTGTTAATAAACTTGCAATTTTGAGCAACAGTCGCGCAATTTTATTTATTGTATCTTTTATGATGTCGATTAATTACCATGGATGACTATATATCTTCAATTAAAATTAAAAATGTAATTAATAAATATAATTCGTTCGACTCACACGATTCGCTCTTTAAAACGTGAAAATAAATCCATTTTAGAATTATTATACTTGTCCATGCTTCTAACAATAAATTGCATATCGTATTACTGTTACAGCGGGTAAAGTTGTGCCAAAGGTATCCGCTTGGTCATTAACGGTAGATCTACTTAAGAAACGAGGTATACTGGGGTTGTACCAAGGAACTGGCGCCACGGCACTCAGAGACGTAACATTCTCTGTTATTTATTTTCCGCTGTTCGCTAGACTGAATAATCTTGGGCCAAAGCGAGAAGACGGTTCATGTAAGTAGCGATATAATTATGTTATCACACGATCGATCCTAAGCGAAAATATATTAAACAGTAATAATGTCGCTGCTAATTATAGCTGTATTCTGGTGTTCATTCCTTGCCGGATGCGCCGCCGGATCGACGGCCGCATTAATGGTAAATCCATTCGACGTAATCAAAACTAGACTGCAAGTTATCAAAAAAGCACCTGGTGATCCAACGTACAATGGAGTGTTAGACTGTATACTGTGAGTTCCTCAAAATTAAACATTCTCCTTATTCATTACAGGATATTTATTATCTGGAGAAACCTGGAAAATCAAAAATTTTCAGGGGATCCCTTTTTATTTTTGAAAATCAGGGATTTTCATGGATTTTCATGAAATTTTATCTTTAATTTTAATTTTAATTATAAATAAAAATCTAGTTTTATAATCATTGTTTTCGACTTGTAGGAAGACATTTAAGAACGAGGGACCGAGGGCATTCTTCAAAGGCGGCGCTTGCCGAATGATAGTCATAGCGCCGTTATTCGGAATTGCACAAACCGTCTATTATCTCGGTGTAGCTGAGTGGCTGCTGGGATTGAAGTGAAATCGCCATATCGCCGATTCGTGCCGTTCAAATACTCTGGGAAAACTTGACAATAATCATTGTAGATCGTAGTTGTATTTTTGCTTGAAATTTTTGCTCTTCAATATTGCTCTACAATAAGAATGTTGTTAAACGGGGATCTCGCGATCGCTTATATACAAAGAAAAGTAAAAAAGTATTAATTGAAATTGCCGTAATTCTTGCAAGTCGCAAATTATAATAGATTCGTATATGATTGAATGGAAATTTATCTATGTTTTACGTCCATATCCGCAAAGTGCATTAAAATTTTTAATCAAATATTGTACAGTGAATCGAATCTAACATTCGTCTGATTGTATTCTTACAACGTAAAATATATCGTCGATAAATATATTGAAATATCAAATCATTAGGAAAACGTATGATTGCAAATATTTCACAACTGTACCAATTACGTGTTATTCAATATTTAGATCGTGTATGCGTCTTTCCATATAATAATAGCATTTCTTCATCTCTTCCTCATATTTTATAGATTCTATAAAATATATGGTCTATAAATTATATGCGAGATCCTGCCCACGAATCATGCTCGTTGTTAAACTGAGTGTATCGGGATCTTAATTGTTATAAATATCTACCAAACTAGCCAATTATAGTCAATTATACATGTACATTAAAGACATTAAGCAGATTCAACGTGATATTTTTTTAAATGTTTTTCATTAGGCATAATAGAATATTTTGGCATAATAGAATATTTTGTTAAAGCTTATCATTATCTAGTTTTCTTATTTTTATCTTATGTAAAGAATTAGCAATCTTTATGACTATATGTAAACGGAAATATTACAGAATCTTTAAAATAATTGCATTGTGGTTCTTTTTATTATTTTTTCTTATCCCTTTATTTTTTTTTATTTTTCGACACTGTTCTCTAGTCCCGAATTGTGGCAATTTCTTTGAGCTATCGCGTGATTAAAAAGAATCGATTATTAATCGCAAATGTATTAAGATGAATATATGAAATATATTAGATTTTTTAAATCATATTTCATAAGAAAAAAATTTGTTTTTTTTATTTCACATGTTCAAGAAAAATCTGTTCGGGAACGGTTAAAAAGTAATAGCGAAAATCCGTGTGTTCGAAATTGAGGAAGATATGCACAGTGAGAGGAAAAGGTATAAATTAAAATAAATTATTAAGCTTCAAACATTCATTAATCATGTAGGAATTATCATACATGTTCAATCGTACACCTCCATTCATTAATAAAAAAAAAAACGAGATTTGTGTCGGGTTCAAAATATTTTTGTTCGAATTTCTTATTTTTTTATAAACTGTCATGCAAACACCACATTAGTCTTCTTTATATAATAAATCCTACAGCCTCGCTACGGTAGCGCGAGATGAATCGCATATATTTAAATTTAATAGTATGAATAATAATCACGTCAATATAATCAAACTTATAATTATATTTATGCTACTCTTTTTCAACGTTACTCTCGTACCTCGTTAACAACAATATAATTTGTTTACGCTTTAATTTGTGATGCAAGAGTATTGATATACGATGACACAGATTGTTTGTAATCTAACGCTATTATAAGCTCTTTATAATACCTCAACCTAGTTTCTAAAAAGACCATTTGGTTTATTACTAATGACACATAATACAGTTTATAATAAATAATCATGGGCGTGCCCGATTAAAAAAAAAGAAAAAATATTTTCTTTAAAAACTTTTCTTGAAGAACTATTATCTCCAAATATTTGGATGAGAAAAATATGCTTTTCTAATTAATTTTAGGATATGAAATTCTTATATGTTACAAAAATTCCTTTTCTTATCATTTCTAGTCATTTATAGGTCATACATAATAAAAATTTTAATTTCCTACATTTATTTCACTTATATTAATTGTATTTTCATAATTATATTCATGATTATACTAGCGATAGTAACATTTAATAATATACAATATGTTTTTGTTATACACAATATAATAAAACAACGTATATTGTCATGTATTATTATTGATTTCTTGCATTATACTTATTTATTATATTTATTTATCTCATCGATAAAAATATTTCCTCAAAAAATTTAGAGTCAGGCACGCTCTATACGTTTGTTCAATAACAATAGAGAGTTTCATTTATTAATCGTTATCACATACGTCAATAATATATCAATAATGTAGATATAATTGCCATACAAATTAAAAGCGTTCTTTCTATAATTTGCTTAAAGAATAAGCGGTAAATATTGTAAACTGTTAAACATTCGTTAATATTTATGTTGACATTTTTCGCAATAAGTTTATAAAATTGCTTTCTCTTTTTTATCCATCTGGCGTTATTAATATTTTCAGCAAAAATGTGTGAAAATATAACTAATATAACTATACAGATTTTACCTGGAGTATAATGGACTGAGTATTGTTACGTTACATTGCACTTACTCATCTGCCTTTATTCTACATTATTCTTATTAAACGTACGCGCGTATTTTATGTATCACCATTAAAGATAAGCTTTAAACTCACTTTCATGGTACATAAATATATGGTAAGATTTCTACTTACATATTGAAAAAGATAATCTTTAGCACATTATCTTTCTTATTATAATAAAAAAAATTCTCTATTTCGTTCTAAATCTGTTCTTCGTGTATAACGTATTTAAGTACTTTGTTAAGTAAAAAAAAAAAAAACGTTCGTTTCGTTGGTGTCATGATATTTTTATAATCAAAATTTAATTTTTTTAAAAGGCACATATTCTTCGTAATATTACGTATTAGCTAACGCACAACTTCGTTTCTTCTTTTATCTATGTTTACAACATTGCACGATTCATTCCTCTGCACACTCCAATAAATTCGTTAATTTATTCTAATATAATTAGTCTTGCATCAGGATACACGTTAACTGTAACATATAACAACATTCCTACTGAACTACATTCGACGGGATTGAAAAATACTAAAGAAAGATTGCAAAAGTAAAAAAAACCGGTTTGTATCGCATAATTAACATCGTATATTATTTCTAATTAATAGGAGAATCTTTTTTTAATTCCTTCATATTCCAAGATTTTGCGCTTTTAAAAATATTAATGCCCGTGCAAAGGACAAGATCGATCATTTCACGTTCTTAAAATATGAGCGAGATTATCGCTGCATTCTTCAGTTTTCTCTTCCGAGTAAATTCTTCTCTATTCACGCCTACACTCACCTCATATTGTAATGATGGACCGGCTTTCGGTAGAGTTCGAAAGCGCTTCCTCTTTGCTCTCGGCTACCAGCCAGATCCAGACCGCTGGGTTCCCTATTGTGCCCAGGATTAGCGGTGGGATAGAGCGGACCTGCGGGAGCGTGGTTATTACCGTGCATATATCCATTGTGATTCGTACTGTTCCGGTTATGAGGCAAACCGAGACTGATCTGGCCGGTACTGTTGCTGTGGGAATGTGTGGTAGTTACCGGTGGACTTGAGTGAGAATGTGTGTGACTGAGGCTGTGGCTGTGTGTCGGCGACGTAAGATGACTTAAATTGTGATGTGAATTCACAATATTTCCGTCGTTGTGACGACCGGGTGGCGGGATGTTGTAGTAATACTGACCGCTGTTGCGTTGCACGTTACTGTTGCTTTCTACCTAAATAGAAAAATTTACATAAAATTGCAACGATCCCGTGATATAATAAGTATTTATCGATCGCATTTTAGTTTTCATTGAATTGCGAATCGCAGCAGACATTCATAACAATAATAAGAATAATATGAAAAGAAAGAGTAATCATCTTTATAATATTTAAAATAATAATTACCCCATTATGTACATGTGACGTAGCAATAGAATAACTCTTCGAGTGTTGATATGAATTACTCCCATCGTTTCCGTTGTTCTCCGTTTGTGCAAGCGACGCTTGAGGTGGCCTGTAATTCTTCGGCTTTGGAGGTGGAATCGGTTTATAAGTGCCCGGCGGTTTGTTTTGTGAAATTGGTATCGATTTGTAATCGGTGGATCGGCTGTAAACACAAGAAATTATCTCGTATTAGAATTTACAAACTTACACTTAGACATTACAGATATAAAAAATTTCATAAAAAAATAAAAAAAAATAATATTAATTATAATATTATTCTATGTAAAAAAGACGATTTCAAGATATTAAAAAAATTCTTTAAAATATTCTTATCTTATAAAGAAAAAGGTATAAGTATAAAAAGTTCTTTCTAAATTCTAAATTAAACATCAATAAATATTCAAGAAAGATGTATATATAAAATAAATGTATATATTTTAATTTATTGCGTGTGTTAAATATACACCTATATTTGGCATAATCAGTTCGCGTTTGAGCGTCCTGCGTGGAAATGGGCTGAACTGTAGATCTAGTGAATCTATACGGATCGTGCGCTCTCGCTGGTGTGTTGCTGCTTTTGAGATCATCAGGTACATTTGGGCCCAAACGACCTGTCGACGTGTTTAAATTCGCTATCCCATAGTTCGCGTTCCCATTAGTATTGTTGTACGAATCATAGGAAGACATACTGTCGTAACTTCCCTATGTAAGAGAGCATAAATGTATCTTACAGTTGAATAGCGTGATTTATTTGGAGTTATGATATGCACGTCAAGAAAGAAGAAATATCGCTTACCGCTTTCGGTTGAGCCCGTTCCAAAGATGATGTAGCATTTGCTTTGTGAGGAGTCGCATTGATGTAATTCCCCATATCTAGAATTGAGTCAGTTTTATTCACTCCTAGACGTTCCTGAGCGGATCGCCCTATCGTTCCCCGTGGCGTTTGATTAATCGGCTTTGCATTTCGATCAACTCGTGGTGGAAGGTCCGGTGGACTATGATGAGGAGATCTAGGCTCGAAGGAGCTGCCCAGATATTCCGGCGAGCCAGACTGATTGCTCCTTTGACCGGATAAGGAGAAGCCGTATTTACTATCGCCTACTCCTTGGGATCTTCTCTTCTGCTGTTCGAACGATTGCTAGAAGTGAAGAAATCTATTAGAGATATTATATGTACATTTCTACCTAGAAAAGAATTTAGAGGAAAAAAATAGCGCAAGAAGAGCAAACTAAATAAAAAATTGTAAAATAACATTATTTTAATGTATAATAGTTTATTCTTCCCGTACACGAGTGCTTGTATCAATTATTATACTGTATATTGAATAATTTTATCAAATTCCTAGTATACTCATAATAAATTTTATCGAACGCATTCAATATGCTCTAAATAAGAAATAATTTTTTTTTATTTACAAAATGTAAATCAAATCTAATAGATAAGTAACTATTTTTAGATATATCTAAAAATATTATACCTGATAATTCGTCGAATACGGTGGCGGTGCAGTAGTATCGTCTTGAGTAGCAATACTCGGATCGGAACTACTTTTTAACCGCGATGGTGGACCCAAAGTACCAGGGATAACGGGTGCTGGGCTCAGCTCCAAATCGCTCTCCGGAGAGGAAGCGTAGGAGAGGCGAGAAGTCATCGGGAATAGGAAGTCATCCGAGAGAGCTTCTTCCGGCTACGAGCGCAGATCACAAAGGACATCACGTTAGGCAAACGGTACATATGGTGTGTGAATTAATATCCAACGACACAATGGATATATGTTATTCGAATATCAACGAACAGCCAGTTGACAGCCATGAATGAGTTGTTTTTATGGATACTTTGTATAAAAATTAAATTTATAATATGCTTTCTTAGAACAATAATATATCTCTAATTGTTCTTTCTAAGCATACTACAAATTAAACGATTTGCGAAGGAAATAAAGTAGAAGTATGATAGCATGATAAGCACGCATTCACAGACATATAAAACACAGACATATAAAAAACTATTTTCTTCAGCAAGCTTGCGCAAAAAAGTAAAATATTTGTAAATATTAGCTATGATAAAAAAAAAGAGAAAATTTTGGCGATTTTATAATAAACATTTTTAGTTATTTTGCTAATTAGTTCAATTCATAAGAGTTAACAATTTTGCTATTTAGCAAAATAACTTTAGCCTCATCTTTAAATTATATTACTATATTTTCCTCTTTTTTATTTTTATTGCAATAAAACTGAGAAAATACTTTATATTGTCAAACGGCTAGAGTTGAGAGTTTCAACATCTTTTTCTGAATTGACAAATTTGGAAAGAGAAAATAGATTATTAAGATAGATACAGCCATGCAAAGTGAAGAAATGCATACTTAAAACATGCTAAATTAACTCTTTAACTGTTTAAACAAATATACTTGAATGTTAACTTAATTATTATTTTTAATATGTTTAAACAGTCAAATCAATTGTTTCTTTAACTGATATACATATGTCGCGTTTCTGTATGAAATACTGCAATAACTGATTTAGCTCAACAAGGAGCACGTTAAACGCTAAAATATTATTATAAAATATTGTTTTAAATTTTGCAGTTAAAGAGTTAAAGCAAGCAGGATTTATATATAGCCGAAAAATTGCTCACGGATGACGCCCGAATTTGGAGGCGATTGCGGAAGTGGTGGGAATTTTCCCATGAAAGATGATATTGATTGATGAGGTGACAGAAGCATGTCATGGTTCTTGTTCTCGTCGTAATACACGTTATCGTTGGGAAGTGGAGGAGGTGGGAGGATGGGAGATAAGGTGTGAGCGTATACAGGCAGATGCGATAGGTCCCACACCGTGTATCGGCTATATATCGGCTACAATGAACAGACCCAAATTATGCCTAAGATCGTCGAACAATATAGCATATATTACGTCGAGCAATGAAAAATCCGTGATATTCATGAGAAAAGTGAAAATAGAGAATGGAAAGAGAAAAAGGGAATAAAAAAAACCATCCCAACATAGTTATATTTTCAGTAATTTCATTCTTACTAACATTTTTATACTTAATTAAAGTAAAACAGGGCAAACAACACGCATATTCTGCAATACAACTTGTACGTTAACTAAATTGCTTTACCTTGGTTTGACTCATCCACAGCGAACTTTGCTGTTGGCGATCGATGAGCTCTCTCAGCTTCCGGTACCAAGCTTCCGGTGCATTGAGCGTGATCACCGCGCTGAATACGTGTCCCCAGATCTTGTCAAGCTTTTGACACTGCTCCAAAAGTTTTTTACTGCTTTTGTGGGCTGATCTGTAATCGTACATACGTCGTATATAGAATTTTGGAAGGGAAAAGTAGAGATCTTATCTCGCTATCATTCTTACTTTGGTATGCCAGCTCTCATCTCTTTGATGACTTGCTTCGTTTCGGCCTTTAGGAAAATGACGATCGGATAAAATTGAGCGTAATTTAAACGATCCACGGCATTCGGAGTAATGTCAAGCAACGCATGTTTGCCCCTGTCCATCACTTCCCTGATAGCGCTCAGGCGAATGATGCCGGATGTTTTGGTGTTCTTTCCCGTACCATCTTCCATTTGACTTTCCATTTCTAATATTCATCAAAATATTCAAAATATTCAATATTCAGCAATATCTATTTCGAAAGTATAACATAGTTTATTCAGTAAACAGTAAATATATATTTACAAAGTATATATTTACTTACGTGGCGAAGTGAACTTATCAGGGAAATCTTTTAAAAGCTTTTCCCTAGCAAGATCGGCTACAGGTCCAAAGAGAACGACAGGCCTGACAAATCCAGGATGTCTTAAGATCACACGTTCGTAAGCCGGAAATTTGCTTACGCTATCAGAGAACACTACGTCATCCCAATGGTCCTAAAAAATGTAGAAGAAACATGAAAATTAATCTAATCAGATATTAATGTAGATACAAAGTTATTTAATCCTTAAAAGATAAAAAGTTTGCTGATTATGGCCTTGTTTTTATCCATTGCTAATGCTAACGTATTGTGAACCTTGCCATTCACTTCATCAAGGCGAGGAGCGCACTGATACTGTATCGCCTTGATGAAGTGAAGGGCAAGGTTCACAATATACAAACGATAACCACAAATCTTTTGGTATCTTTAAAGATAATACCCGTGAAAACCTAAAAAAACGTTATTTAATCCTTTTTAACACTTATAACATATAATATAAAAAAATAAAATAACATTTAAATGAAATACATATACAATATAAAAAAAATCTATATTAGATTATAATTTTATATTATACATATAATATATAAAGATAGATAAAAAGAGTTTGTTGCATTCGTACCCTTCCTAAAGATTTCGAGCGTCTGTGACTGTTTCTTCTTCTCCTGAAGAAGCTACCTCTGCTCTCGTTGGCACTCATCTCTTTCTTCGTAGCGTTGAACTGTGCGGTTGCAAGTTCCTCAGCCCGAGCCTTATTAGGTATGATGCCCTTTTGTACCTCTTGATTGTTTCGTCCAATTCGGAAAACTTGCCAGGATCCTACGACGCCGTTGTGAAGAGTGTCCACCACATGAAAGACGTCGCCACTGCGAAAGCTCATCTCACCTTTCTGCGGTTGCTCATAATGGAAATGAGTTCTGCGCATTTCACAGAGATATCTTGTAAGTCAATCATTTTTCATTGAACTAAATTTAGAATGACATATAAAAAAAGAAATAAAGCTCCGAAGAAGTAAATCGCAAATTAAAAAATAAATTTATACGAGCCGACACAAAGTAATCGTATGTATCAAGTATATTAGTACAATAAAAGTACAGATATTTCGACCCTCAAATATATAGAATTGGTAGTTAACAAAAATTTTCGCTGTACAATTATCAAACTAATAGAATTATCAAAATAAATAAATTCGAAACATTGTCAAACCGCGAAAACATCGTAAGTCTAAGAAGTAAAAAAGTCATCAAAACAAATGTCTTTAATATTTGGCAGAATTCTTAAATCATGAGTTAGAAATTAAAATTAATAATAAAATAACGATGTCAAAGTAGATCACAGAATAAAACAAAGTATAAGATACAAGGAGTTGCGAGTTAAAGGATCAACTTTAAATTATCTTTCCGTCGAATTGACTAAATTTTGTATGTTTGGTTATTCTAAACAAATATTTTTTAAGATTATTAATTTATATCATAAATGTCACTTACTTTATGTGAAAAGAGTCGCCTCTGCCGGATGCAACAATTTGGTCATATTCCTGACGTCGATGTTGCACGATAAGATCGATTTGTTCTTGCAAGCTAAGAAGAAATAGTACGGCTTCTTCCCTCGTGACTTCCTTCATATCCATATCATTTATCTGTCGCAAAAATTTTACATTTCTTTATAAATTTTCGATACATAGATCCAATTAGAATCTCTAATTGGAAATTTTTTTTAAATCTCTTTTAAAAGATTTTTGTAAAATCTATAATTGTAAGAGAATCTTGAGCAGAATTATTTAAATGTATACTTTCAACACTTTAAACTCTAATAAAATTTAAAATTAAAATTATTCCAATAAAAGAATCATTTAAGATAAATGATATTGTTAGATTCATTAACTTTACTTTTCGTCACGTTTGAATCTTTGAAGTCTTGAACATGGATTTAGTTTGTCTAAATGTAAATAAATGGTAATAAGTACTTATCACGAATTGTTAACTGACCTTTAGAATTTTATCTCCTGGCTGAAGACCCTGAAGAGATGCAGGACTTCCCGCTTGAACTGCAGTTACGAAGACCCCGGTTTCATTGCCACCGCTTAATCGTACGCCTACGGATCCTTCCTTTTGAAATGTAATGAATCGAGGATCCGGCCTATACATACGTAATATTAAAGTAACCATTGCATATTGTCTAATTAAAAGAAACAGAATAAAACTTTATCTACTTACATTGGCTGTTTCGTCCGAGGCGAAACCGAATCTTCATCGTACAATTGTCTACGCGTACTATAATAATCTATAAAAAGAAATAGCACATTACGTAAAAAAAAGCGGAAAATTCGCGGATTAAAAAAAAAAGAAAACGATCTTCATTATTAATGTTATCAATTTCGAAAACATTTATTTTGATTAAGATAATTTCAATCCAGATAATTAGTAACAGCATTTCATTAAAATAGCATTAAAAGATTAAAGAAAGATAACGTCGAATGAAATTTTTTATAAAGAAAAATAAAACTAATATATTATTTTACACTAGATCCGAGATTAGTAAAAAAAATAATAATGTAAACGTATAGTTATTAAAGTTTTATTTAACACTTTACAACATTATGTCATCCATATTGGATAATACATAAAATTCGAAACTCATCATTTGTGGGTGATCATTTTATTTATCAGATTAAAAATGATTTTACTAAATATTTAAGATATTAAGAAAATCATATAAATTATATTAAGATATTTAAAAATACAATAAAATGTAAAAATAGTACACTAGATTTTTTTATTAAGTTTAATACTGAAATCAGCTTGAGAACTTTTTGAGATTTTTGTCAGCACCAATCTTTTAGTTAGATTTTTATACTATTTATACTATTTGAACATACGAAATGATCGGCCATATCGCGATACGTACCTTCCGCTCTCGGTGGAGGTGGTCTAGGTGGATCCACGGTGGGCGTAGCTGGTAGATCTAGCTGACTCAGGGATACGTCCATCAGCGGACCCCGCGAGCGGCCCCTTGGTACGAGATTACTCTTATCTTCTAAGGGCTGCCTCGTGGGTGGCGGAACGTATAAGTTCTGACTACTGTAACTTGCGCCCGACAGGTATTCACCACTATCCCCTTTACCTTGTTGCTGCACATGACAGCACGAGCTATCTCGCGTAATTACAATCGAGAGTCTATCTTTACACTGGTCCATCAGCTTTCTAGCTTCCTTCAGACTCATATTGTCGGCAGCGACGCTACCTATTCGGGTTAACACGTCCCCGGTTTTCACTCCGATATTCTCTCGCGTAACCTCCTTCACGTACAATCGGCATCCCAGAACTATGCCGAAGTCTAGAAATCAAGGCAGTAAATTACTGCATCTTGTCTCGCACACATTGTAAAGATAAAAATTATAATAAAGAGCTGAATAAAAAGCTTGAAGATTCAGTGAGAAATCGTATTTATTAAATATCAACTCAAAAAGTTAAATTAAATTGTATTCAATTAAAACAAGTTAGATTAAATTACATTAAATGAGATTAATTGGATTACGAAATCGGATTACGAAATTGACAAAGATATCGAAAGCCAGATGTATATGTATGTATATTGAGACCTTCTTCGCACAAGTGTTACATGCCGTCTAATTACGTACCATCCTTTTTGTTGTTTCGCGTGAGTGTAAGCCGGTGACTTTGAGGTACTCCGCTGCCTAAACAACTGGGTGAATTCGAGAAAGCTCTTCGTTTAACAACTAGTAAAACGGTAGAACCAGAATCCCGCAGAACCTGCACGGCTTTTGCATAATCGGCGCCTTCCAACGATTTTCCATTGGCGGAGATAATACGGTCGTTCACTCTATTAACGATATATATATATACATTTTCAAATAATAATCTTGCTAATTACAAGGATTATATTAAATTAAAAATCGCAACTGGCAAATACCGGACAATGCTAAATTTTCCTTAAAAAAGTAACCCAAAGACTAAGAATCAATTCTTATTAATTTGCAATAATCTTTTCATTTTATAAACAATTCCAACTAAAAAGTTTTCACATAAATTAAGATATAATTGTCAACGACAATGGAAAAGTGTTAATAAATAAGAAATTATAAATAAAAGATTGTAAGAAATCTTTATATGGACTAAAAAAAGAGAAACCATTCTATATACATATTAAATAATGCAAAATGCATAAAAAAAATTTATTGCTATTTGCTGTGGTAGAACTTACTGTAATTTGCCTTCAGCTGGGCCGTTTTTGAGCACATCGGAGATTGCAATCGCTGGGTCGCCATTAGTGAAATGAGGATTATCACAACCTCCTGACACAGCTATTCCAAAGCCATAACCTGGGACTCTGGTCACCTTAATATGGTGGATCTCCCATCCTCTGTCACCAGTCTTAAATGAAAAAGAAGATAAGATAATATTAAATAATTGGCCAACACTGAAAAAATATTGTTTAATAATTCTAGAATATAATTAAACTTTCCGAAAAACTATTTTTTAACATATTTCATTGACTTCGGTGAAAAATTTTTTTCAGAATTCTTCACGTAATTCTTTTAGAACTTCCAATTTATATGAGTGTATTTAAACTTTATAACTTTTTAGAAAATTTCTTAGATTTTTTTATACAAATTAGAACACCTGCGTAAAAAAATATTTCTAAGAAATCTTTTTAAAATTCTTTATATATTTCGAATTTACAATATTTTAAGGTTTCTAAAATTCTATTATATTTTTGTGATATAAAAAATTAATAATATAACTTCTAACAGAGATCTAATTTCTTTCTTCGAAAAAAATTTATAAAATTTGAAAAAATTTAAGTTATTTGTTTTTTAAATCTTTATAAATTTAAAATATAAAAAATTTTTTAAAATATTATGAGACACTTTTTTCACCAGATGAAACATATAATTAAAGTTATCATTATTCTTCCATATCACAAAAATGAAATTGGTTTCAATAAGTAATTGTATTTGATGCTTTAATTTATTCAAAACTAATTGAATATTTCTGTAATTAATTCTTATACTCTCTTTTTACTTTAATAATATTTTATTCAAAGATATCGGAAAGATTGCAAATTATTATCGTGTTTTCATCCATTGCTAGTGCCAATAATATTTAATTCATGTATATGAATAAAACTGGTGTGTGTGTGTGTGTGTGTGTGTGTGTGTGTGTGTGTGTGTGTGAGAGAGAGAGAGAGAGAGAGAGAGAGAGATAAACATTATTTAAAGAGATCCCTATTATACAGGATGTCCTATTTTAACTTAGACACCAAAATATTTCGAAAACAGTGCATTTGCAAAAAAATATTTTAAATAAAAGTTGTAGGGTTCAAAGAAGGGTGTCAGATGAATTAGATTTTGAGTCCAGAGCTCACTTTGAAGGCCAATAAGACATAAGTTAAATTTTTTAATAGAAATGCCTACGCTTTACTGAAGATTTGTATTGGAAAAAAAAAAAGAAAATTTGTTCGTGATAATTTTTCGCTAAGTCTCCAATAGGAGTAAAATAGCGCTCAAAGTTCTCTTATTTAAAATACAACTTGAGCTTTATTAGATCTAAAATCTAAGTAGCTCATCTGATAGCCTTCTCCAAACTCTACAACTTTTATTTGAAATATTTTTTTAATGCATTGTTTTCGAGATATTTTGATGTCTAAAAACAGTATACTCTGTATATTATATTATCGATAACTTTTGATCGCGTTTCTTGCTAACGTCGTCATATAAACGTCTTTACAGATACATTTAGTGATACAATCGCTATGGTCAGTTGGCATATTATTATTAAATGATTACAATAATATTATGCTAAAAGGCACGCTTTCGTGTACTTACATCATCTCTTAATATCAAATAGAGATAAGCCCAGTTATTAGTCATATATTTAAATAAGATAATATCGTACAAACCCTAAGACACACTGTCATATCACGCGACAACACCTTAAATCATCTTGGTAATAATAGTTGGCGATCAAAGCGTATTGAAGTCTTTATTCCTGCTTCTATTCCATACAACAAGATTAACGAAAAGTCTGAAATCGCTATACAAAAAGAACAGTTTTCCTAAAGTATCTACAAATTTAGTTAGATCTGAAAATAATTTTATTAGACCACTAAAATATAAATTGTATATAACGCTCAAGATGAGTTTGCTAAAATATCAAAACTTTCTGTAGCATTTGATCATATATTATATATTTATATTTAAGTGTCCTACACAATTATTTTAACATGATCCAACAAAATTATTTTCAAATTTATTTCTATAGTTAAAGTTTTAGACACTTCAGTAAAATTATTCCATTGATATGAACTTTACATTGGTATGAAATTTACATTCACCAAATCTCTTAATTATGTCGAAATAAAGATAAAAATGTAACGGTACTTCGCATAAATTAACATTTTATTTTTACGCGCATAATGAGACAACGTTTAACCAGCGATTAGAAGACGACGGCATTGCCTAATTAAAAGCCATAATTCATTCACTACATACATGGAAGCGAATACAATGGTGTAATTATACACATTCCGCGAAGCCGCGTGTATTCCTAGCTCCGTGGCGTGTTTTCATTGAAATACGCGCCGGTTAAATTAACGATAATCATCATCGAGCATCGAGCGTTAAGGCACGATAATTAGATTAATTTTGGCGAGGTTGTAACAATGGGTCGTGCGTGACCGGCGACTTTCGTCGTTAAAACGTGCCCGAGTCCTGTAATTTGCTGTGATAAATTTAGTCCCCGGATGGACTTGTGAATCACTTGAGAACACGTGTTACAGGAGATCTTCTCCTGCGCGGGAAAGCGATCGTCAGATAATCCAATATCCCGTATCAAATGGCAGAGTTATCACCCTCGTGTACGCGACACGTAGTAAAGTTATTTCTAATCCCGTATTCGATCAGGTACGGTATCTTGTACAGGATAAACTTGAATGGAAGCAATAGTATGGAAGTAATAGAAGAAAAGAGAAAGAAAGAGACAGTATCTTAATAAATATCCCCGTTATTGACTATCGTGACATCAATAAAACAAAACCACGATGTGCCGTATTCATCACTTACGACTTCTAGGCACACCTCGATTCCTATCAGTTCATATGCAAACGTAAGTGCAACGTTTCTTCTTTCCCCGGTGAAAAAAATTCTTGTAATATCTCATAAATTTTAAGAATTTGTCATACTTTAAATTTATGAAAACTTTGGAGAAATATTTTAAACTATTTAGATTTTATAAGTTTATTTTTTTAGAAATTATAAAATGAGAAATAATAGAAATGTCTGAAAATTTCAGAATTCATAAAGAATTTAAAAAAAAAATGCAAACTTTTTCAGATCGTCTGAAAAATTCGCACTAAAAAAATTGAGAAATTTTCTAAAAAGTTATAAAATACAGAAATTTTGGTTAGGCTCTCCTTAAGCGATATTTATATTTACTCTATATAAAGAATTTCAGAAAAGATGTAGACTTTCAAAAGAACTTTCAGACAAAAAAATCTGAGAACTTTTTTTAAGCAGTTAAAAAGTATACAGAAATTTTTGATTTTATATAAAAATCTGAAATAATTTTATAAAGAAGTCCAAGAAAAATTTTCACCAAGACTTCTAATACCTTTTTTCCACCAATACAGTTTAATCTCGATTCAACTTACTCTTTGTCTTTTTCTAGTTTAAAAGATTAGAAAGAGACAAAGAGTAGAGACAAAATTGAACGAGATTAAAGTTAATCTACGTTGGTGGAAATGGGCATAAATAGTTCTGATGTAAATCAAGTAACGATCGCTCGAATTTCAACTTCGAACATTAATTTGATTTTATAATAGTAAGCACCGCAACGGGAACGATAAAATCGAGAAACGATTTCGAGAGAATTAGGAGACTCTCCAAGATTTGTGACAATCGAATTTGCCAAGAATGATTTGGGAACAAGTTATATAACGACTGTGCAAATATTTATACAAGACTTTCCGTAATCGGATTTAAAGATCTCGGGATGCGCTACCTGACCGTCGAACCCGCCGGAGGAGTTGTGCATCGTGCCGTGGGTCGACGAGGTGGAGTTCGGCGGGGATCCAGAATTTCCCACGTGACAACCCACGCTGATGCCGCCGCCGCCGCTGCCGCCTCCACTGCTTCCACCGCCTCCACCGCCGCCACTTCCGCCACTTCCACCACTTCCAACTCCGACAATATTGTTATCGCCCCTGTCCATCCTCCTAACGCGAAGAAGACGTTCCCAGTCCTCCTGTACGCGCGATCCACTAGGATGATTCTCTCACGGGCCGCTCCCTCGCGCACTTCCGTCGATCATTCGCGATCCCTGGAGCATTTCCTCTCTTGGACGTCCGTATCTTTACGTGGAACCACGTGGAATTGACGGATCGATTTTACTTCGTAGACAACTCCGCCGCGATCGCATTGTTACACGACCGTATGTATCACGTAGTAATCGCGCTGATCGCGCGATCGCCAATCAATAGTTGGTACAATTCTTGCGCAAAAGTGATTGCTGCGTTTAAAGCTTCGCCGTCCTGCCGTTAAACGGAAAAATGGAATTATGCAATAATCATCAATATTACAGTTCTTTCGTCATCGACGTTCTCCGTTGGAAAGGAAAGAACACACGTTTGACACTCGAATATTCACCACTTCTTGATGCCTCTTCACGCCTCTCTTCGTGGAAAGTAATCTTGAAGAAATTGCTCCGGAATTTGTAGAGATCGGTCTGCTGCTTTTATGTCGTTCTCCTTTGATATTGTGCAACACTAATGATTAACGATCAAAACAGATATTCGCCGTCTTTCAGATTTCGTTATTACTTAATTTCCGTCTTTAAGAAAAAAACATCAATTCTCTCTCTCCTGTCTTCTCTCAACACGAGATTATTTACAGTTTTATAATATTGACAAGACGACTCAACGATGACTCAAGAATGTGTAGCGCGAAGAAGAATCCCATTTATTATACTGATCGGAGAAATTCGCAAAACAAGGCAGAGATGTTCTAAACGCATGGACCAAATAAATTTTAGGTCACGATCGAGAAAAACATCTTTAGTATTATACGATTGTTTCGAGTCCATTAAGCCTGTACTACAACGCTTTTTGTTTCCTGTTTCTTGCCTTTTGTTATTTTTTACATTTTATCTTTTTGCTTCTTATCCAGTTTTTTGTTTTACATCGCCCGAGATAAAAGTTAACGAACTTCGAAAGAAACAAGAAATACGTAGCAAAAAATACAATTGTTGCAAAATAAAACGGTTGCAAAGGAGAAAAAAGCAAAAGATAAAAAACAAGAAACAGGGAACAAAGAGCAACATTGTAGAATAAGCTTTAGTTGTTAAAAGTGACTTCTTTAAGGATCGATTTTAATAAATACAAAATGTTTTTTTACCATGTTTCTTTTCGTATAATTTTTGTATAATTGTAAGAAAAAACTTACGGATGAAATGTGGAATGTAAATTTATAAAATAAACGTGAGCGCAGTGTAATTTAGTACCTCAAAATGTAAGACATCAGCAATAGTGCTGTGTGTGAATCTAGATTTTAATACAATTTAAATAACAAATGGAATAATACTAAAGAGAATAATTTACACGATACTAAATAAAAAACAATGTAAAGAGAAGTTGTTCTGAAAGTAGAGGAACGAATGTCGCTGGGATGTGCCAATACTTTACGATTTCTCCGATTGTCTCGTACGTTTCCCTCCTATCTCAGACTTCATTCGATATCGCCTCGATTTCACAATCAAGAAAATCGAAGAAGAACGCGAGATCACACTTGCACCGTGTCTCCTGTCGAGGAGACGAATTTCAAACGTGGCAAATTTCAATCTTTGCTCGATAATCGATATCACGCTTCAGGACTCAGGAGGATCTCCGTGGTTCCGAGATTCGCGACTGACCCGTTTTTCTCTGTTCGTCGTCGCGAATTTCCCTTCCTCGTTGATCGTTCACGCCGTTCTCCGTGCACGAGGAGAGACTTGATACACTCGCTCCCGTTCGCCTTGCTCGGTCACGCAGCCACGGCTGTACGACACAACAAGCCTCGTCGTTTCAAGCCACTCGTGCAATGCACGCCTCTTTTTCTTCCCTTGCACGTCGGGCTTCGGACGCGACGTAGCGTGAAGCGCTCGATTTCGTTCGGAAACCACGCGGGTCGAGCCTCTCGAAGGCCTCTCGAACGTCCCAATCTTTCAAATCGATTCTTTCGACGATCCCAGAGAGATGCATCTGTCACTGCATCAAGAGAGATTTTCTTCCAGCGCGTTTTGGACCTAAATTTGAAGCTAAATTTTCTACCACTTGGTATTTTTTTCCAGCTTTTTTCCAGAGAACTGAAATTGCGATTTTTCTTCTCATAGATTCGTTTTGGTTTTGATTATAAAGTGTGCAATTACACGCGCCACAATTACCTCGGAAAAATGATGCATTTTTTGCTAATAAGCTTCTCGCTTGAAGAACGATACACACACAAATATTATTCTATTTCTAAGAAAAGTAATTACTCAATTTACTTTCTTTCTTTTAAGTAATGATTATCTTTAACGAACAATTATCTTTAATAAAAAATATTTCTTTGATAACAATCTTAAAATATACTTATTATAAATTTTAGAAAATGTTATTAATATATTTATTCAAAACAAAAATTTATAATATTTTCTTTTGAACAATATTTTATAAAATTGATCAAAGAAACGACTTTGTATAATAAGCAAATTTATTTTAATTTAATCATCTTAATTAAAATATTTAATTTTCCAGGATTCAGAATATATTTTGAATATAAATTTGATGCTCGTGATGCACTTATGATAGATTTGCAGATATGTAAATTTTTGAAATATTTGAAACAAATAATTATTATTTGTGTACAATGTGTATTTTTCTACGAGAAAAAAGAAAAAACTAAAATCCAATGAGCAACAATAAGCATTTGATCAGGTCAAAGTATTAAATACTTTTGCAGTTTTTCGAAATATTTAACAACAAGCTACACATTTCATTTACGTTCACAGTTGAAAAATTTATGTCCAACTTAACACGTTTCATAAATCTTAAATAATTCATTCAATATTAGATAAAGACGTTAAGAAATAACATAAATATTATGTAAGAAATTAACACAAAAATCAACTCTGATACAATTCATAAATAAATTTGTGGCAACATATTTTTTTTTAAAGTAAAACTAACATTTATAATATATTAAATTAATTAAAATTTTTCATTCATTTATCTTAGAATGTACGTCTTAAAATACATTATTTTTGTATTATTTGTTCACTTGCACAATAAACCGTATTATTTAAAAAAATGTTTAATATTAATTTAACACAACTATCTAAATAACTATCTAAATCATATATTACATTAACACTCAGATATGTTCGAAATTCAACATAAAACTTCTGACAAAGACTAGTTTTAATATAAATAGGAAAAATTTTTACTATGTCCTTTTTGATTAATTTTAAGAAAATTTTACTTTTTCATATGGTTTAATGAGGAAATATCGCTTCTTTAGCTCTCTTTGAAATTCAAAATGCTTTCCTTCCTTATTTTCATTGATCAATGTTGTCCTCAATCGAAGGAAGAAAACTATTGACCGCATTGAATGCACATTCCAATCGCAAGACGTTTCTCAGGTCAATAATTTCGCTCCTATTCCCACGATTTAGAGTAACGTTTCTTTTTTTACTCAGAAATTCTTTTTCTGAAGAAGAATCCTATCGATCGAAAAATTAATTGTTTAGTTCAAGAGTACACTCTTCTTCGCACAATTATAAAAAGTTATACCAAAAATCATCATAACTTTTATTCACCAATACTGCGAATAATTACAAAATTCTTCCTCTTCCTGCTGCGCACTTAACATTTAATGAGTGATTTTAATGATTTTGCCAATATTACGAGATGATTAGAATAATATTATAATAATAAAAGAGAGCGATAGATAGATGGGGAGAAAGAAATTGATGTTTCAATCTAAATAACGAAATCTCCTAATTGCATTGATAAGTTAACGTAACGTAACGCAACGAAATTGTCAAGCGCGATAATTTCAGTAACGAGAATGGCTTCGAGCGATGTATATATATATATATATAATTATATGACGGCGACGGCCCTTTCCCGAGGAATCCCTCGTCTCTCGTGGACCCCCGTGCCCCGCCCCCCCGCCGCCGTCGCCGTCGTCGTCATCGCTGTCGACCGGAAGCGCATTTCCAAAAACTCACTGAAGGCCGTCGACACAAAAACAGGTTCCCGGCCGACCGGCTACCCGCATCACGGTTGCCTGAAACGAAACCGCCTAAACCGGACCGCGATTTAAATCGCCGACACGGACCAGGACAACTTCTCGCTCGTCGATCTACTCGAGATTTGATATCTCGCGATTCGCGTTTATATCTCGTTTATATCCCGCCGCGATCGACGCAACCGTCACACTGGAGAAAAAGTCTTGTTGTATTAATTGGAATTCTTGTAGATTCAACTAGAAAGGTAGAAAAATCAGGTATTTATAAGTTAACTTTATATCAAGCATTCAATCAAAATAATCGAAAATTCACTTCTGATAACCATTGCCGATTTCAATTCTTATGTAATAATCATTCTGATTCGTATGATGAAAATTTTATTTGTACTTCTTGTTGATAACCTAACCAGAATATTTTTCTCAGTGCACCATCGAGATCGCGCCCGATGCTCCAGCCTTGAAGACGCGTCTCGGATTCGTCGAAAATTACGATTCGAGTCGCTCGAGGATGCGACACAAATTGTCCGCCAGGAGTTACGAGAGATTATCGACTTCTTCGAGACGGTGAGATTCAAGCTCTTCCAAGAAAGGCAACCGATTTCACACTTCTAACGTTTCGCGTCTGGAGCACGGACCTTCTCCTCCTCCTCTTGTAAATTAACTTGGCTACGCGGCAAACCGAACGTAGTGGAAACGCACGTTAAACCGAGCACGATCAACGAGCACGTTGGACCGATAAACTTGGAGATTCCTGGATGACTCCACACGTACGCAGGTACCGATATATTGGCATGCCGATTGCCCATCCACACCATGGAGCGGAGATCGCACACGCACGTAGACCACGCTTCACACCACCAAGCACTACGTTCCACAGGCCCTCATAGTAGACGTACACGGCACAGATGCACCAAGATGCACGTCGAATCTCCTCTCGTGCCGCACGCGCGTGCACACGGCCTTCGCGTGCGTATGCCGATGATCCAGCAGCGGTAGCCGCCTTCACGAAATTCCCCCCTTCAAGATATTGCCTTTTACCTATCACTACTGTCTCCGACTGTCTCAAACTGTGACTTGAATTTTGAAAAAAAATTTGGGAACGGATACACGATGGCCACGAGGGTCCGTTTTTATCACGAGGCACGAAAGAAAGCGAGAGAGTTCCGGCGATGAACGCGTTTCGGTTTCTCTATCGCCAGGTCGACTGGCCTGGCCGAGGTAGAATCGGCCGAGAATTGCAGGGACGCAGAAGGACGGAGTGGTGACGGAGAAGAGAGACGGCAGTGTTTAACACACAAGAGCAGCGCGTGAGATGGAAAGAGAAAGAGAGCGGGAAAAGGGGGAGATGGAAAGAGGAGGGTGAAAAGAGAGAGAAGAGGAGGGTGAAGAGAGGAGGATTGGAGACTTGGAGTTCGAGAGCGTGCCGACACCGGTTTTGCCTGGTCGGTTTGCTTAGTTGGCAAGACTACAGGTAGAGGTCGGCTTCAAACGTCTTACCCTTGTGTGTGTGTGTGTGTGTGTGTGTGTGGGTATGTGTGTGTGTGTGGGTATGTGTGTGTGTGGGTATTGTGTGAGTACAAGTGTTGCTGTTGCACGCCTGTGGGTGAGCGTGTGGACGCGTGTGTATACGAGTGCGTACGCACGCGGAGCTCTCAGGCTATGAGACATTAACTGGAATATGACACACCTTACACCAGCTGGAATTCTGCTTGTCGCGCGGCCTAGGTATCCGTTTTCCGTTTCTCTATTCTTTGTCCTCGAGCCACATCGCGAGACCGGGTACGGGATCATCCAGGCAAAATCGCCTGATGGAGTTTCAGCGCGAGAACGCGATATACGATGATATACGAGAGGGGCTCCCGCCGTCACGTTTCAGCCGTATTTAATTGCGCTTTCCGCGTTTCAATTAAAACGGACACGTATACGTTCGGGATTTGGCGGAAGGGAGAGAACGCCAATGGAATGGGGAATGCGGCTAAAAAGAGCAACAGACCCTATGTTGGAGGTCTATCTCAACAGCTAGCTCGGTAACAGACTGATGGACCAAACGCATGAAAATATTAGTCCTCAAGGGATTAGAATGCGATATTAATTCTTCGCCAGCCAAATTGGACTTTCAAGACAGTCCATACTTTGATTATAAATTCTGGTAGATAAATTTAAATATGTAAAAAAAAAGTAAAATATAATTTGACTTCTGTGATACTAAAAACTTGTTGATACTTAAAACTTTCGCAAGAATGCAAGAATTTTTTCAGATTTTTGTACAGTCCAAAATAATATAAAAATCTGTATTGAAGTTCAAAGATCTCCAAGTTGCTGATGGAAGGTGCAAAATTCCACATGGCCGACAGAAGGTTAAAATGCACGAGAAAATCTCACCTCAAGGAATCGCTGATCAAAATCCCGTTTAAATAGAAATGCATTTTATCGAATTAATTAATGATATATAAAGATCCCGCTGGTTATACTTTGTTTTAAAAAATTATTTCGTACAAGTGTATCGAAATTATTCTTTTAAGAAATTCTCTAATGAGTATTACACTAGAGCAGTGATTTATAGGAGATTGCTTTAAACTTTCTATATCTTATTGCTATTTTTTTTCTCCTCTTCTTTCTTCTCTTTGCTAGTATCTCTGAATACTTAGCCGCTTCATTAAATATAGAAAGCCTAAGGAGATGCAGCTGAAACGAACGGACCTTATGATTCCATAAACGGAATGAAAGTTGACCTTGAACAACGGTCAGAAAAACGTATGATGGAAGAAATATGTGTTGTGACGCTATATGGTTGGTTCAAAGACCGACCAGTGCAAGAGAAAGACCGATAGATTTACGAGATTAATAACATTTCCTTACCATGAGAAATTGAAACTCACGCGCTTGGCTATTTACTTTTTTACCGTTCACATAAGAAACCACTGTTCAGGTCTGATAAAACTGTCGCAATCTGAAGTTTTCTTAGTAAAGACCTGCACTGAGCAATTCTTCATATCATGCTACACTGAAAGAAAAATGTTCGATATTTGTGATTATAATTACATGATAAAATAATTATAATTAGTTACTCCATTTTTATAATTATTATGTAATGCTATAATGTAGTAATAATTAATTATTATCATTATATTTATGATTCTATATACTAAAAAATATATACAAACTTGATATAAAAAAATGACTATGAATTATATAATAAAGTTTGTTCGCATGGCTCAAAATTCTCAAAAACTTTTCACGTAAAACAAAAAAAATATATTTAAGCATTGAAAAGAAAGAATACAAAAAATCCTAAGGGCAAAAAGTGCAAGCAAACCTATATCTCATTTTTTATCATATCAACTATTTTTTCTTATCATGTATAGAAGTACATGTAGTTAAGTATTTATAGAACTATATAAATATAATTATTATTACTAACATTAAAAAGCAGAAAATAACTGTAATAATGGAGCTTTCAGCCATAATTATTTTGCTATACATAATTACAGCCACAATACCAAATATTTTTTTCTCAGCTCATAACATTTCTCGTTACAAGTCAGAGTTGTACAGGTAAGAATACATTTACATAGGTATGTGTGTGAGTGCGTGCATGTACATAAACGATATTTCGCTGTAAATGTTATTATCTTAAATTCATTCTCGTTTCCCGCAGAGTGGAGTTCGCGATTTCCGGCGCGTTTCCAGAAAGAAAGCCGTTCCAATGCAGCTCTCATGTCCATTTGGCACAATCGGAAATGACGACTGACTGGTGATTCATAAAATTTCATAAACCCGTAACAGCGCTCTCGAGATTACGCTGCTGAAACAAATCGCGATGGTGTATCGTTCCATCGCGATCAGTGTAGATTACACTCGCGCTTTACAACGATGAGAAAAATCGCTTCCCACACTACGCACCTCATTACATATGAATCTGATTAACCATCGCGCTGAATCCGGATAACGGATTCGAAAGGGAAAATCCGACGAGGGATCGTCCAGTATCACTTTTCGAGCGTGTCGACGTAAATATGAATCGCGCCGTATGAAAGGAATGCGAAGACGTTATCACTCATCCGTGCGTAAATTTCTGCGTGCGTAAATTTGTGTAATTTCGAAAAAAACTTCGATGAAACGATAGATTATTTATTTCTCATTAAATATCACCCCTCAACAATCAGTTCAATATTTCTAAGCGAAGATGTTATGGAAGAAAATTGTAAAACTGCACAGTTGTGAAAAATTTATGTTAAATTTAACACGTTTCAATAAGTCCCAAATTTTTGTATTAATTTAACACAAAATATAACACGATGTTGTAAACAAATTGTGAAAGTTATTTATATTATTCAGTAAAAATCAATATTTTTACAATATATTAAATTATAACACTGAGAAAAATTTATGGTTGAAAATAGATGAGCCATCATATTCTAATCATATCAAAATTGTAATCATCATAAGTGAACATATCTCGAGTTATCTCGAGTAAAATTAGTATATAGAAATGAACACAGAATTACGAAAAAAAAAAGTTGAACTGAGATTACAGTTAATTTATATTGGTGAAAACGTCAGTCTACTATTTGAAAATAAATAAAGTTATCATTTTTTCTAATCTTACTTTGGCTTTTATTTTTGACAATTTTCTTTCCTTGTTGCATTTATCGAGCTTGATTTACTAGTTGTTTTGAAACTGAGAAATTTTATATTACGTAAACAAGATTGGACGAAGAAATTTTGCTCCTTAAAATCATATCCAAAATCGATCGAAGTAATAACTCAAGTGAGCTATTTTATATAAAATGGCGATACAAGATAATACAGTTATCTGGACAGCTGAAGATTTAAAGAGGTAACGCGTGGGTAGGTCTTGAATTCCAGGATTAAATATGAAGTAGATACACGTAAGAGCGTTGCAAGCAGCAACCTTGCAGTCGCGTCGAGCAAATGTTTAGGAATGTAAAACGTTCATGGGATACGCGCAAGACCAGCGCATGATTCAAGCATCCAGAAAAATCCTGCCGCAGAAGGAGAACCGGATCTCAGAATCGTTACTGATAGGTTTAGAATAAATCGCTTACGTAAAAGCATCCACGTAATCAACGGGACCAACGTCGGCGCACGCGATATACACATATACATATGTATATTTAACGTTAATAAATCTAAGTATCACGTGTCGATTTCGTTCTGACTAATTTTCGTCGATTACACGATATTAAGTAGACGATAAAAACGTATAACGTAACGTAACGCGCGACATAATGCGAAAATCGACGACAATCGTGATATCATTGATCCATCGCGACATTCGAGCGACGCGTGCACGCGAGAGCGCGTGAAATGCAAGGAACGATTTCACGCGATGAAAGTCGCGACCGGCCACGTTCGATTTACCAAGGAGCAACGTCATTCAACGAGAGCAAGAAAGAAAATCTTTCGTCAACTCGCGAACAAAACCTACATATGCCAACTTCGGCCTTCGACTAATCTTGAGGACATTTCCTGTGGAATGCGCGCGACCCAGGTAGATCTAGGTACCTGCCGCAGGCAGCAGGTAGCTGCCTCTCAACCTTAGCAATCGGACGAAAGAGAAGACGACACGAGGGCGTGGTGTGTATTTGAAGATCTCTCGT